TTCAATAATTTCAGTTTCAAGCACCAGTTGCTTCATTATAACATTTTTTTTCTTCTAAAAACCAGAAATTAAGGATTATCTTTGAAATGCTATGGATACAACGCTGGCGAAGTCATATGACTGGACACAAGGAGGCAATAACTTAAAAAAGACGCAGAAAGCCTTCAGTGTGTTACCTCAAAACTGTCATTCATTACAGTTAAAAATATACTAAACATGATTTAGCAGTGAAAATATAACATAGAGAATTTAATCTAATCAAATAAAATCAGCTGATATGAAAAGTCACCTTACACACACAACAGATAATATATATATATATACATACATCTGATCTGCAGCCTTGATGTGGCCTTCTACAGCTGGTGCAGTATCAGTGTTCACTTTACATGAAGCAGTGACAAAGAGACCAAAGGACGTCCTGGACTGCATGAGCCTTTGTTACCCTGCTGTTCCCACTCAGCCATGCAAACTGAGCCTAATGTAAATTCCCCTGCCAAACTTTTAACTAAATGGTAAAATGATCCTGGGTCCTTGTCACGTCCACTCATATCACTGACTCGCTGAAGTGCGCTGCAGTTGCCTGGGCTGCATGCCTGGTTCCCATTACTCCCTGCTCAAACCAATCAGCGCAGACGGCCATTATGAGAGACTGAAATGGCTGTGTTGGGTTAAAGGTAGTGAAGGAACAAAAAGGCAGAGGATGAGATCTTTGTTATGGAGTGAAGAAGCCTCAGAAGGCAGTTACACCTGGATGTTGGTTCTACTGGAGATAAATGTCTCCAGCTGTCTCTGCGGAGAATGAAATCTGTACACTTGCAGGGCAACAGAACTAGACTGAAGTCTCATTTATGGTTGAAACAGTACTTACACAAGCAGTGTGACATTAGTGCAACAGTGCCATTACCCTATCTGCACATCTCAGTCACTGTACAAGACAAAAAAGCAATAAAAGGCACAATCCCGCTTTAATCAAGGCTGCAATTCAACAACAAAGTACGACCTTTGTGCTGCTGGTGTAATTAAATGTTTACGGTGTAAAACTGGACACCAAATGTTGCAAAAAAAGCTCTGCTTTGACACTAGTGAGTTTTAAATTGGGGTTTCAAATGGATTTTGTCTGCTGTGTGCATGCAGAGGCACTCGCCCTCCTCTCCAAACAGACGAGGGCAAGAAAGCCGAGCTAAAGGTCAAACACTGAGAGAGGACACGGGCACATCAGCAGAGGAAGTGTGCTGTCTCTGGAGGCTCACAGAGTCATGTAGGTAGCTGCCGAAGTCATTGGTTGAATTATCCTCAAGGTTTATTTTCTCCACTTTGACTATTTTTATATAAATTCTCCAGCTTGTCTTTTTTCCACTACTACTGTTCAGACTTTTACTTGAGATGCTCCATTTAATGCAAGATTTCATAAATACTGAACTTTTACTTTGCAGATTATTATTTTGCCTACAGAAGTTGCTCAGATTTTTTAAAACTACAACATTAAAATGCTGCTTCATTTGTCTCCAAATGTGCACAAGGTGTTAGTATACTAACTCTCTGAAAGGTGGCATTTTTCTGTGATGAGTACTTTTAATTTTAAAACTTTACGAATGTTTAGCTGTCTGTACTTTTACCTTGTACTCAAGTAAAATTTGCAGGTTACCTGTACTCAAGTAGATTTACATTGTTGTTTTGCTACTTTTACTTTAAGTTTTCATGTGTATTTTTGGTAGTTTGTTATGTTTTATCCTGCTTTTGACAGGTATGGTTGCTGTGAGGCATCCAACAAAATCTTTCTTTAACCACACTGCTCTGAAAACTGTCAACACTCCAAGATCTACCTTGTTGAGCTCATGTGACAACATTATTGGCAATGTGTTGACTAAAAATAATAGAACTGCTTTTGTAGTCATTCAAATGCATGTAAATGTTTATTTAGGCCAGCGTGCTGTTTTATAGCATCCAAAAATGTCTGATGGCAGCTTCAGACAGCTCTGAGCCCACTACTCATGTCCTTTGACTGAACAGAACAAGCCACAAATTATAAAAACAAAACTCCCTGGAGATTGTATAAAATACAGGTCTGATAAAAAGAAATGAGCCAGGAAGTCAAATACTCCAGTATTTTCCAATAAAAACATCAAGAATCATTTATCATTTTTCTCTTCAGCTAGTAAGTTGAGCACAGTTTACTGCAATTTATTTCCAGTTAGTGGAGTAGACATGAGTAAAAAAAATGGTTTAGCTAAAACCTTCATTCAGTGACAATCGCAAGAAAAACAACCATCAGACCAGTTTTTAAACACTCATCTTTACATAATTTACGCATGAACGCGAACTTAATTTGTCTCATCTGAACGGTTAAATGTGTGAGCAGGGAAACAAAGGCAAAAGGAGAACTTTAACATCTGACTTGCATTATGCCAGAGCTCTCCTTGTCCACAGCGTAGCTTTGCTTTTTCCTGCCTTCTTCAGTTTGAATCCGGCCAGTTATATTTTTGTCTCCTTGATTGGAGTAAACATGGACTGATATATTTCGCTGAAACATTCTAACTCTGAGAGTGTAATTTAAAGAAGACAAAAAAAAAACAACCTCACGAAGTAAAGAACTGAACGTTTCTGCAGCTTACTTTACATAAGATAAAAAAAAAATCTCCAAACTTGTATGAAATGGAGGGATAGTCTTTGGAAGCGCTTATATTTAAGAAACAATTCGTTTACACACTTTCTTCGTGATTCGGACTAAAAGATACAGTTTACTCAAAGCCTCATATCTGCGGCTTGATTATTAAATTGTATTTCACCCTGATTTACCAGGATCTCTGTTCAGATGAATAGATAATAAAAATGTTAACAGGCATTATAAAGGGCCTGTATGAGCTCTCAAAAAGATTGATTACTATTCTTGACATTCTGGAGCTATAAGTGGTTTCTCAGCAGGCCGATATCCAGAAAGTGTCAAAACATCCTTAACGACTTCCACCAAACATTTCAGTGTTATACTGATGGACAAGCAGCGAGAGAAAGGAGTTTTAACTTCATGCGTAAAAGCGACTCGATCCCGGCTTCCACCGAAGCTTTGTTTTATTTTATTTTATTTTATTTTATTTTATTATTTTTTATTTTATTTTATTTTATTTTGTCAATAGCCCCCCAAAGGTTCAGATCAGTGCAGCCTGCAAAACTAACCACCTTTTTTTTTTTTTTTTTTATTTCCAT